GGGGGGGCTCTGGGGGCCGAGGCGCGGCCTCCCCGCTGCCCGCGGGCCCGGGCCCCGCTCCCGCCGTGACTCTGCAGGAAAACAGGGCCCGGCGGGAGCGGCGGGGCGGGCGCGGAGCCCCCGCCGGGCCCGTGTCCCCCCCGCGGGCCGCGCCGCTCCTCCCGTGACTTAGCAAATACCGGGAGAAGGGCACGGGCCGGGGCGAACAGCCGTAAAAAAGCCGTCGGGGCGAAGGGCCCGGCGTGTGCGCCGAGGGGACCCCGAGCATCCCTCCCCGGTCCCTCCCGGGGGTTCCCCCGTCCCCCTCTCCCGTGGCAGGGCCGGGGGTCGGGCATGGCCCGGTTCGGCAGCGCGGCCGCGGCACCGAAAACAGGGCGAGAATTGATAATCCAGGGGAAGGAGTAGGTGTTGTTTCAGAATTTGCCTCGCATCCCCCGTTTCCCTGCAGTGCTCAGCAGGGCAGCAGCGATAGGAGGTGGCTCATGCCTTCAGAACCAGCTGCAGTAAAACGGGCGAGGGAGGTCTGATCTCCTTCTGGGGGTCACACCGCTGCCTGGACGGCTGGAGGTGCACGGGCTTCCCTCGGAAACCTTTTAATAGCAATCGAGTTTGCTGAAATCTTGTATTTATTGTTACTCCTGAGGTTTTGTTTCGGCAGGAGGTTATACGCAGGCAGGGCTTTTGATGGAAGTTGGGGGGTGGGAGTGGTGCCTCCCTTGGAAAGTTTGGGGTTTGCTCAGTTCTGTGGGCATGAGATTTTTTTTTTTTTTTTATTGTTTTCTGTTTAAGGTGGAGGCAATTAAATTTGACCTTTAATACCAATAATAATGTGACACCTTCCCTTTCTTTGCCATGGTATCACTGGAACCATTTCCTCGCCGGCAGTGCTGCAGCAGTGGGCTTGGTTGGTGCAGGTCAAGTCCTTTTATAATGAATTACTTACCAGGGAGGGGGGAAGGTTAATCTAAGCTGTATTAAAAATCTTTAATAAGCACTATTTTACTATAAATAAATGTTTGGGCATACTGACCTGGCTGAATTACGTATTTTTGTGGTGATTCTTTTAATTGTATGTTCCTATGACAGTATTGTTCATGCCATTAGGAGGTGGTGGTCAAAGAACCTCCGTTCAGTGATGATCATTTTGTAAATGATTGTGCAGCATTCGGCTGGTTTTCGGGAGAGGGAGGGTCTGCTGTCAGAATGTTATTTTCCCTTAGAGTCATTTTGTTAAATAGGAAAATTATGTTAGGGAACTAAACAAAGAAAATATTTTTAAACTGAAAGATGCGTTGCAAATTTCCGGCTTGTTCTCGGGGATCTCGTTTTTCTGTGTTTCTGTTGCTGTTCTATGTTTGTGGATGCTGTGAGCAGCCATTGAGCAGGGAAGAGACTGGGTGGAGTAAGGAGGCAAAGCTGCGAAATGGCTCGATTACCCTTTCAGAGCTTTTTTTTTCCCTCCCTTTGCCGGGGTGGAGGAATACTAATTGCCGTAACAATGAAGTCTCTTCTTTAGGGAGGAATCTAATGGTGCAGGAACCTTCGGAAATGAAACAAATCTCGCGTTCTGTTTTGAGGCTGGTTTTTCTGCAGGGTGGATCTTGATTTGTCTGGCAGTGAGAAGTGACCAGTCACTGTTGCAAAGCCGGATTTTTTTTGTCTGATAACTGCTTCAATTTATCCACTTATTCACTTGTTGAATTTATTTTATTTACGCTTTAGATAAGAATTATAATTTTTGTGCGGGTGTTTTGCACACAGGATTCTCTGAAATCTAGAGAAACCCCTGTATTGTGGCTTCTTGCTGTTATTTTTTCATGGAACTTCTTGGACAGACCAGATTATGGGTGGGCACACAGGAAAAGACAATCCCTGGTATCTCTGGTGACTCCAGTGGAGTGAGTGCTGTCAGTGTACAGACTGGATTGCATTGCCCTTCTTCATGTGCCAAGTTCCTGTAAAATGACATCTCAGGATTTTGGAAGCCCTTTTGAGCACTGTGGCTCTGTAAGAGCATTGCTGTCCCCCTGCTGCATCGTGGGGGTGACACTGCTGCTGAAAGTTGTGTAGGAAAGGCATTAGAACAAAGGGTTTGGGGAATACAATAGGGATGGGAGGAAGCACCTAGGAAGGGCTGCTTGTGGAACTGCTCTCCTGTTCCACATGTTCCCCATGGCATTCCCACCTAATTCAGTGTTGATTGGAGCAAGTACAACATCAAATGTGGATGATTCTGAAGCAGGTTGAGTTTTTGCTTTTTCATGGAGGTCTCAGTTCTGGAGTCCACTTTTGATGGGAGATGGCCACAGAGGAGACTGTGTTTGGTTTAATATGCCCAGAATTAAAATAAGGGGCAGTGGCTTCTTTGTAAGCTCTGTCTAGTTCATTCAGCTGGAGTAGATGTTCCAGGATTCAGTGGATGTGTGTGCCAAATGCCCGAGTCAACACAGATCCAGGCTAAGACCAATGAAGAACTCAATAAAACACTTGCCTCCATATGGCTTTGGGTGATTTTTGCCCTTGAAATGATGGCAGTCCCTTTCTGTACAGGAGTAACTTGTTCATTTGGGTTCTACAGAAGCAAAAGGCATCAACACTTCCCCGTCTGGCTGCATGCAAGCTCTGCCCTGTGTGTCCTGCTGACTCCTGTGCCTGTCCTGTCTCCTGTGCTCCTCCCAGCCTGGGGGCTCAGGTTGTGTCCTTTGTCTGCTCACCAGCTTGCTGTCTGTCCAACTTGCTGTGGATGGGACAGCTCTTGAATCAGCATCTGCTGATTGCCTTGTCCAGTTGGAGTAACTGTGTCTTCCATCAAGAACTCCATAACCAGCTTCCATCATTAATTATAATGTGTTTGTACCCTCTTGTAGAATATTATGGGCAAACAATAGCTGGTCCCTGCTACCTCAGGGTAGCTCAGTATGTTTATAAGTTTGTTTACAACCCTCTGTATCTGCCCTGTATTCCTGAACCAGAGGGCTGGAATTACTGTGGTACAAAGGGGAGCAGCACTGGAATAGTTCAGGTTCAGGCAGCTCTCTCCTACTTTGGTGAACTTCAGGCCCATTTTCTAAACCAAAGGCAAAGTCTGGGAGGGCAGCTGAAATGTCCATGATGTGAGCACTGAAATACTTCTCAGGCTGAAAATAAGAGCTGCTTAGGCCTAAATTTAGGAAATCAAGAGGACAATAGAAATTGCTAATTATTCTTAATAGATAATAGTTTCAGATTTCCTGTAGGGTGTGGGGGAGTTTCCAGCCTGTAACATGTGATTTGTGGTGGCAGTTGAAGATCTTTCCCAAGGATCAGAACTGTGTGTGTTGATCAGAATGATTCTGGGGTTCTCCTGCAAGGGTTGTCACAGAGCAGTGAGTTACACATTGTCCATACTCGCAGATCTGTCAATGACGTTACAACTGGGCTCCTCTTTCTCCCTTTTATAAGAGCTTAAATATCATTGGCAGAACAACCTGACTACTGAAAACATTGCATTGGTGAAGCCTTGCAGGGGTGCAGGGACTTTCTCAGGAGCTGACACAAGGGAATGGTGCTCCCAATGTGGTTTTGAGGAGTTTTATTCATGGGTGATGTTGCTTTGTCTTTTCATCTGCCTGACAGAATAGGCTACACTTCAATTTAAGTTTTTAAAAATAAGCATTTACAGTAGGATACAATTATGACCTGTTTAAAATTAATTTTCAGGTACATAGAGGTGTTTGTTCAGAATTCCTTCTGTGCCTGCTGTCCACGCTGGCACATGGCAACACTGTGGGCAGGACTGTGCCACCACTGAAGGGCAGAGCATGGCTGGAGCTGGAGCTGTGGGTGTCAGCTTAGTGCTGGGTTGGCCCACCAGATGTGTGTTGCTAACTTGTATCTTATCTCAGTAGTTTAAAGAAGGGCCTTTTCTTCTCAATACTCCTTGAGGCAGGACTTGGAAGAGGCAATGCTTGTCTCATTCAGCCAATTTAAAAGCTTGTTCTTTTTTTTTAACCTTCTGCTCTCTCTGTAAGGGATTAGATAGGTGTGACTTAGGCTCTCTTGCTTTTAGTTCAGTGTCGTGGAAGCCACCTATCGTTTCACTTCATGCTGGCATGTACTGTCAGGAAATTTCAAAGAAAAAATGTTACTTAGAAAATAAGTGTATGCTGAGCTCCATTTCCTCAGGACTATAAGCACACAGTCCTTTCAAAGCTAATCATGTGCACAGCATTGTCACACTGAGCAGTACCTAGAGCACTGATGCATGTATAACTGTATAAAAAAATCAACATTATTAATTCAAAGTACCTGTTAGTTAACACATTTAGAAGTATTTTCACCATTTCCTCCTTACTGGTACTGCTTCTGAGCGAGCCCTGCAGCTTGGCTTGGCTTGGCTGCTTGTGGACTTAGGATAAGGATTGTGATTAAATAAATGTAATAAATACATCTTTGTCTTTGTGATTCTGTTGATTCTGGAAGACTTACCTGATGTTTTTAATGCTGCAGCCTTGAGAAGGTGTTTCCAGTGGTGGGCAGTGTGTGGTAGTTGAGGTTTGTAGGTGGTGCTGCAGCCATGGCTGTCCTGTGATTTCCTTGGATCCGTTGTTAAGTA